TGATGTATGTTTGTCATCTCCATTTTCTTTTTTTTCAGGCTCTCCATTAGTCAAGTCTGCTTTCACAGGAGTTGAGGGTTTGCTTTCTTGTTGACTATATTTCAATCGGCCAAATTTAGGAGACCCTGACATGGTATGAATCATAGGAGACTGGGGTTTTTGTTGATTTGATTTTTCTAGTTCTCTTGTCTCTTGTATCTTAAAAAAATGAAAGTGTGTGCACAACATACATCAAAATATGTTACCAAAAATATTGAACAGAAAGCAATGTTAATTAAATACTCTAAAGTGGTTACAAATGTTTCTGCTTTCCCACATATTTTAATGCCTTGTTTAATGTTCCAAGAGACTCCGGGCTGGGGTTTGATTTCACTTATTATTATTATTATTATTATTATTGTTGTTGTTGTTGTTGTTGTTGTTTTGTTATGATTATTATTATTTAACCCAGACTACCTGGATGTTGTATGTTTTTAATTGCTTAAAATAACACCCAAAGCCTATGTGATTAGGTAGTTAATTTTAAATAACATTTCATATGTAATACATTTTCTTGTGTTCTTGAAAAATATGGTAATTATCAACCACAACTTGGATAGGAAACAACAGGTTAAAATGTACATTGTGACTCAAAGATATATTAGATTTTTGCCTGATTCAGACAATATCACATTTGTAATATGCCAAATAAAGAAAAAGTGGGGAAGAAAACAGCAGATAGAAGTTTAAGGTTTATCCTAAATCCTAAAACTTTTAATTACCACATTCCATTTTTGCTGCCCTTGGAATGCTTTCTAATTAGGATAGCTATTGATAGCACAATATCCCACCATTATGAGGAAAACCGATGACAACTGTGGTGCAAGTTCTAAAATAAGCAAATTGCAAATAACCGCCCCCCCCCCCCACAAACTCTCTCAATTGAGTAATAATGCACAACATGAATATAAAAAAGAAAAACAATAGCATATATCAGTACTTAAAGATGTGTATATAAGATAGAGACAGAAACATGTTACATACAGCCTGGTTTTCCATCCGTGTGAAAATGACGTTCAGCATTTGAGTGAGAGTAGCCTTGGCAGTTGTTTGATTAATGAGATTTTTACTGGCCAAGTAGATGTTATAACATGTTCTAACAGTCTGAAGGATTGTTCCTTCATGAATTTCTATATATGGAGATGTGACAGCAGTGAGAAGAGCCTAGGGAAAAAAGGCACATAGACATTATAATAATAAAAATTGGCAAAATCTTTTTAAAAAAATATGTATTATTTGGCACTTTAATAAAGGTTAAAAAAGAGACGCTACCCGAGTTTCCCTGGAAATAAGACCGGGTGTTATTTAAGCACAAGGGCTTATTTTCCGAAGGTGTCTTATTTTTTTCATTGTACGGGAGGCCCACTTTTGCTTGCTTCTAATGCCACCGCTGTGAGATGTAGGGGTGAAGCTTCCCTACATGCCCCACACTGGCTTACCTCAGGGCCCCCGCAGACAGGCTACCCATGCCCTGATACCTTTCGCGCCTCGCAGCAGTGATTGCAACAGCCCAGTCCAGCAGGACCCTGTGTGCCACTTGCCCACTTCTTCTGCTTGCTCATGGCCACAATGGAGGAGGTTGAGTTATGCGCAGATGCTTCAGCCGCGAGGTGAGGAGCAGGGGTGGAACTGCCCCACATGCTCTGCACTGGTTTACCTCAAGGCCCCCGCAGCCAGGCCATCCATGTCCCGACACCTGCCTCGCCTCATGGCCGCGGCACCTACACACCACTTAGCCTTCTGCTCAGTTGCAGCTGCACACAAGCAGAAGAAGTGGGTCAGTGGCCATGTGGGCTCTAGCTGCACATGGATGCCGGTGCTGCCACAAGGCATGTGTCAGGGCATGGATGGCCTGGCTGCAGAGGCCCTGAAGTGAGCCCGTGCAGAGTGCATAGGGCAGCTCCACCACCTCGCGGCCACAGCAACACAAATAACCAGAAAGAATGGGTGGCCAGACAGCTACACAGGCTCTTAAGTAGGGCTTATTTGGGGGATAGGGCTTATATTAGGCGCAAGTGTAAAAACATACTGTAGCTTATTTTGGGGGAAACAGGGTATATGTATCTTAAATCCGTCTTTTTAGAAGGCAGGAAATATACCCCAAAGACAGAAGCAATTTCTTGCTTGGGAAAATGCCACCTCATCTGTAACAACTATTTTATGTCAGATTTTTTTCAGATAAATCATACTGCTATTTTATGTCTAATGTCTAAAGGACTTATAAATGAAATAAGACAATCCTTGCATGTTTATAGCTTGCATTTTCTGTTTCTTAAGCTCATATAGTATTGCTTTCATATTACTAGTGGAAATGTCCAAGAACTGTATATCTAGGAACATGTATGTATCATAGAACTTGTACTCTTATGTGCTGTTAAAATGACACTATTATAATCTTATCCACTTAACCAGGAATTAATGTAACATTCTTACAGATCTTTGGCTGTATTCTCAAATCATCTTATGCTGTAGTGTGATTTGATTATGATGAGGCATCTTGAGTGAACTGCCATTCTGATGAATAAAGCCAGTAAATTACAGTTTATATGAATTAGCACATTGGATGAAAGTACTCATATACTTTGGCCTGTTCAAAAGCAAGACCAAAAAAATTCAATGGGAGCTTAACTTTTCAGCTCACTCTATTTAAGACTATGTTTTAAGTCTGAGATTTTCTCCCTATTCCAAATACTTTCCTTCTCAATACTTCCCATTACCAATTTGTTTCTATTTACATACAGAAAAATAACATTTGGCTCAATGTTATATGTAACTCAAATTCAATTTTAAGCCCTTAAAAGAGAACGTTTCTGAAAATATATATACATATTTTAAAACATTGACAAACATTTTGAAATATATAGAATATTTTCAAGAACTATTCATCTATTATACTGATAATATCAAGGCAAATAAGTTCATTCACAACAAGAATTTTTAATTTGAAAAGAGTCTTAAAACAGTGGTGGTGTTGCTGCAACTTAAAAAGTCACTTAAAAACAGGCAGCAGTAAATGAGATGCCAAATGACAAACACAAGGGACTTGAATAAGATGAAAGTGAATGCACAGAATGCAACATCAATTAGCAAAATAACTGAGGAGGCAGAAAGCATTAAAAATTGTTTTATTATGTTCCATAAGGAACTTACTTCTTAAATAAGGCATACAGTCATAAATACAAAGAGATACATCAATGTTGTGGAATATAAAAAGTAAATGATCTATAAATAAATATAAGGATTTTCTTGAAATAACAAAAAACTGTGACTAACAAAATATCCAGTTTTCTAAAGGTACAATAAGACATTACCTTTATTATTTGTAACTGTACTCCTTCATCAGTCTGAGGACCCTGAAAGCAGTTGCATACTGTTTCAACTATGCGGTCAATCAGGCGCTTTCCAGGAGCTCCACTGTCTGGAGCATTGCCAGTGATATGTCCATAAGCAATGAGTTTCTAGGCAAGAAATAGATATATATCCACAGTATTATGCTCGTTTTCAGGCCCTCAATGCCTTAGATCTCTTAATATATTCAAAATACCAGAACATCTTCATGAATAAATCAGGGAAGGGGATGGAACTTTACAATTATTAAAGTTCTGCTAGAGGGAAAGAGGGGATTTGAGAAAAAAATCAATCTGCTTCTATTTTTCCCCTCAAAAAAACAACTACTACATCACACATAAATGGCATTAAAAAGAATATTTTAAGCATGATGTGTGGGAAAATAAAGCACTTTAAAAACTAAATCAACAGATATCAAGCAGGAATGTTCAAAACATTGCACAAAGGAAAAGATAATTAAGTTTTAATTCCTTCTACAGCACAATTATATACATATTCACACATATACCCACAATTGTAGAACATAAACTCAGCAAATAAAATCAATTTACCCAAAGGTAATAACATATTAAATTAAAGAAAATACCTGTAAACAATCCAAAGAGGTGCTGACAATCCGTGGAGATTTTGATTGGCAGGCCAACTCAAATGGGAGAAAATATTTATCAGCTTCAATGAAGTTTGCTTTTGGTATGGTTTCGCTGCCTTGGCTAATTAGAAAAATTCAAAGAAAATTATTTTGATGTGATAAATTGATCCATTATTTTCACATTAGAGTTAGTGCCAGTTCTGTATCAGACTATCCTCTACATGTTAAATATATCTAACTGGCTCAATACTTTCATCATTTATTATTTATCCCAATTGTTTTTACTTGGGAGTAAGAAAGCTTACACTTTTTCATACCTGCTTGGAATTAGGTTTGTCAGCAGGCAACTGAAATACTGAAGCCTAGGGCTATAATCTTCAACTTCCATGCTTATTAAAACTCAGCACAAAGGCAAGGAGAACTCCCTATGTCTCCTTATAACACCAAGTCACTACCAGTTCCCTTTTGCAAGATGACAATTTAACTCCACCCCAAATACAAACAATTGGGGTTGTTCTCTGATGAAAATTTGTGTACAGATGTGTTCAAGAAAGACAGTAATTTATAGTTGCACAGAATAAACACTTGTCTCAAGAAGACAAACAAGATTTCATTTTGTGCTTTCATTTATCAAGTATGTTATGGTAATGTGGTATACTTTTGCTGTGCAAACCAATTGATAGTATTTCTTCACAGTTGTCTTTAACTTAGAAGTTAAATCATTAGTTTTTGGGTGAGAAAATGTCAAACACATACTGCTACCACTAAAATAGTCTTTTAAACTATTAGACATCACTTCTGTATCTAAAATTTCTTTTTTAAAAAGGGACTGATTCTCACATCATACAAGCAGATAAAGTAAAATTTTTGTCAACCTCAAAATTATAAATTAAGAACATGAAAGTCATAACATGTTTATGTAATGTTATTACAATATTATTTTTTCATATGATTATGGAGTTTAAGATGATAAAAAACTACTAACAAAAATACAGTGTGAATAATCATCAACTAAAACATAAAAGTATTAAAAATCATTAGAATTCTTTCTAAAACCATTGATTTATATTAATGACAAGCAAAACGTATCATTAGGCAAACTGAGATTCAGAATATGTTAAAAGCCAACATTATTGGAAAGGCAAATAAATACATAATAAACAGAATCTAACTGTGTCCCTGCCATTTACATGCCTAAATTATGGCTGATATGAACAATGATGAAAAGGAATAGCAGAAAATAGATAAATTATAAGTATGGAAAGAAATTCCGGTTGAAAAGAAAGGAAGTGGTATGCATGATCTTTCAGAAGTGTGGAAGTCGTTGCTAGTAACTGAAATAGAATGACAGTTCTAAGTAAACCATGCATAGTCACAAGAATTGCTTAAACATGTACCCCTTCCTCAAATCCTTCACGTTTCTAAATAGTTGTAAATAAGTTTTGGAAACTCTGAAAGTTCCTTCAGCATTCCAAACTATTTTTGTCCACCTGCTCCTCCCTGTCTTGATGCAAATGGGAAACATATCACTTAGCAGAAGGAATCATTAAAGTTTTACCTTTATATAGCTTATCAAAACAACAAAATAACATTTTGGTGCATATCAAATGCCAATCTATTTGCAATTTTAACAAACGGTACAAATATCTCAAATGAGATGGTCAATAGTCTTTAACATATTGTGTTGTCAGAGAATTTACTTACCTTTGTTCTTCTAATTCTGCTTTTATTTCATCTAGGGAAAAAAGAAATATGTTTTATATGTTGAAAGTTTAAAATAATCATGAAATAACTTTGAATTTTTAAGATAGATGGTATCAACAAAGATTTCACTACATAAGAGTAGGCTAATTTTATCAAGTGTTTTTAAAATAACACTTTTCTAGTAATTATGGAGTATAGTAGCCCTCAAATTTGTAATGGTGTTGTATGACTACTAAAACTCTTCACATACTTCCAGACTTTCTTGAATATGTTAACTGGCAACCTAGAAACCTAAATCTATCCCATGTGGCTATAATATTCAATGTGTACAAGATATGGTATGGAGAATGAAAATCTCAATTTATTTTCATAGTTATATGTTTTTTTCAATGTTACAATGGGTGTGTTCTGAACTGTTAATTGTTACTTCATTAAGGTTCCTAGCTATAGGTTGAAGATTTTGTGAAAAGCATGTTTGCCTAGATTTCTCAAAACAAACGATTTAAGTAATACACAAAGTAAAACAATCTACATTTCAGTATCCCAACTGTGGAAAAACATTTGGATTTATATTTAATGTTTTGCAGTGAAAGCAGGAAAGTCTTTTCAAAATTTTAAGAGTAATAAATCTAATATTAATAAATGAATACATACATCATATGCCTTGCCCAGATTATACTGTTTGTCTTTGATTAGCAGTCCTAGAAGTTTATAAAATAATAAATGTAATTTTTAAGTGCCACAAGTACCTCTGCTGATTTAATTATAATAATAATAATATAGCAGACCATAATATGTATTTGAAGATCTGAGCTACCTTCTTTCACCATCAACCTTGTTTATCATGTAATTTACTTAATAAGGACACTTCTAAATTACCAGCCTCTTTGTCCTGTAATTCTTCTGAAGCTAGTGTAAAATGTATCTGATATTGAGCAAGGATATTTTTATACGTTTACTAATTTCCAGAGAACTATGAGCTAATCAAGTTCATGGATCTCTTCACCCAAGAGATTAAATAATTAATAAGAAGCTCACTTTCTGGTCTGAAACTGCCTTATCTGCTTCCATAGCTCTATGCCTAAACACATATATCTGTTTCTCCTCTTGATTAACAAAAAAGTAAATAAAACTTTAGTACTTTTCCACATTTCTGAGCTTGCCACAATGGCAGATTCCAATTGCCTTCCAAAATCTAAATGCTGGTACTTTGGCAATTATGCATTTGGACTCATTATCTAATCATGCCAGCATGCAACTACCACAGGATACTTGGAAGTGGGAGGTAGGATAAGCCAAGAATCTTCTCCAATGGGAGCCCTGGTTGCCTCTTGAAGAGAAGCACTAAGATATTGCTGTGTCTCAAAACAATTTTTGCTGCTTTGAAATGGCATTGTCCCATCCACAAATACAATGCCAGCAATACAGGGATATATTGAAATTTGCAATAGTGGCAAATATCTGTAGCTCGGGTGTAGGATGAAGTTGAAGGTTTGTTCTCCAAGCTTGTGGGTTGGTTTCCTAACGTTTCGTTACCAGGCTAAGTAACATCTTCAGGAGAGTTTAACATCTTAGCTGAAGATGTTACCTAGCCTGATAATGAAACATTCGGAAACCAACCCACAAGCTCAGAAAACAAACCTTCACCCTCAAATACTAAAATTGCTCATAATAGCAAGTCCCCAGGTTTATCATTTGATACAAAAGGCAGAATTTTATCTCATATGATATACTTCTAAAAATTTTCAGATAAAACAATAGGAAACCAAAATTTAGAAACTATTAATCCAGTCTTATAGTCACACATAAAATCATCTGTCTTAACCTTAAGACAAATGTTTTACAGTGAGGACAACATGTAATCATCCAGAATACATTTGAATGTATGAATGTCCTGAATTTCCGATTCAAATTATCTAAAAATCAATGTCCCTTCAATTACCAGTCCTTTACTATTTTCTAAAATGAGATGAGTCACAACCTTATTGGCTTTGTAAGCTAGTTAAGAATGTTTTGGTACTCAGTTTAATTATATGGTAAGTAGATTATCTTTCTGTACATTTATAATTTTAAAAAATATGACCCATTATATTTGCCCAACTGTGTTTTCTTATCCAACTTCTGCTGCAGTTTAACTGCAAATAATACCAAGATTTGACCTACACTACTGCATGGTATTTTAAAATATCTGTTTTCATTAGACTTTTAAATGGCATATGCTTTGAGAAGCCAGTAATTAATATGCTGTTGCTGTAATATTATAATACTCATTTTAAAATTTTCAGAAATATATTCTGCATACTACTGTACTTTATAATATGATGATGTGGCACTGAACTTTCATACCGTTTCTCTGATACCTGTACTTGGAAAGTCTAGTTTTAAAAAAATCTAAACTGGCTACTTTCCAAGACAGATTTGTTTAAATTAAGATTGCAGCATGAAATGCCAGGAGGCATTGCACAAGACTTTCTTACCTAATGTTGGTTTTTTTCTAGCTTCACCTATCACATTTCTTACACACATACATGCACATGCATGCACACACATACAAACTGTACACATGCATAGACAGTTCATCTCTGTTAGACTAGATTTGGTATTTTGAAAAATGAGAGAATCAGGTGGGGTTTGTTTGTTTTGCTTTTTGTCCCAGAAGTCCAAATTCTAACCTAAATCTTACAGAACACCTAAGAGAAACTAAGTTATTTAAATGTATGTCTCCCTTCTATTTAATTTTAGGATTTTGACCATAAATGCTTTATGATTACAGTACCACCAGCTTTTCCGCTTTTCTGCTTCCACATTCCTATATTTCTCAATGTAATGAAAATACCTCAAAGTGTGATTATGATGTTGTGATTACTGTGTTGATTCTGAGAACCATATGAACCAGTGTTTTTAAAGAAGCTGCTTTCTTTATTAAAAATAATATTAAAAATGAAATGATACATAATGCCTTCCATAATAACATAATAACAAATGCCAAATCCAGTCTAAACCTCTGGCTGATCATGTAGCCTACAATATAGAAAACTACAATTCAATCAGACAAGCATCTGCTGCACAACACCAAGGACTTAACAATTGTTAATAAAATAGTTTTTTTTAAAAAAACTCTGGAGAGTAAACATTGCAATACCTGGAACAACAGTACAGAAGAGAAAGAACTGGAGAAAAATTGCAAAATATAAAGATCTGCCAATAGATGGTGACAAAAGAAAGCAAAGCTAGTAATAGATGGTTTGGGTGCAATCCAAATCATTCAGCACTAACAAAATCATCATCAGTCAATTGTAAAGGGAAGTTTACTTGAAGCAGCTTACATCCTTCAACAATATCTTTAATATTATTAAACAATAACAACTGCTTATCCTAGATCCTTGGGAAGCATTCAGTATAGGACAAAAATGCTAAACACAGCCTAAAGCAGACTAGGAGACCAACTTAATAAAAATAATTAAATGCCACCCAACTCCCAGCAACTGTGGGTGGCTTACAATTTTTAACACACTTAAAAACAAAGAATAAGTAAAAAATATAAAAACAGCATAAGGGAAAAGAATAATGATGGCAAAGAAATCAAACCCAGAAGGCAACAGAAAGGAAGAAAGGACCATAATTCCTTCTCTCCAATGGTTTAGGGGCAACCTCATTCCAGAAGACTGCTACAGAGAAGGCATCTTCCAGGGTCCAGACAAATGGCACTGTTTATCCTTGGAACCTGGAGTGTACCATCCTGCCAGATTGAACTGACCAAATATTGTTGGAGACAGACAGACTCTCAAATAATGAGGCTCTACATCATGTAGGGCAGGGGTGTCAAACACATGGCCTGCGGACCTGATGCGGCACACACTGGCTACCCCCACCCCCGTTTTAGCGAACGGGAAAAAAGTTGTTACATTATATGATGACAAAGTAGCGACATGAGTTTGACACACCTGATGTAGGGCTTTATATGTGGCAACCACATTCTTTAATCACACCAGAAGCAAACTGGCAACCAGTGCAGGTTGCAGAGGTGTTACACCAGGATACTGAGGCATGCCCATCTTTGTCTACATTGTTGCATTCTGGACCTCTTTTCAAGGGCAGTCCTATGTAGAATGTATTGCAATAGACCAGCTGTGAGGTGATTAGAGCATGAATGACTGCCTGAGGGCCCTTGTTCTAAGAACTGATGCAACTGGCTCAACTGGCACATTAGGTGAAGCTGGGTAAAAATCTTCCTGTCCAGAGCTGTCACCTACTCGTTGGGCAGGAGCTGTGTGTCTGGGAAGATACCCCCTCCCAAATTATGCACTTTGAATGGGGAAGTTGGAACATTCCCAGATCTGATTGGTCGAAATGCACACAGTCACTTTGTTTTCAAAGAGCAGCCTGTTTAATATAATAAAAGAAATTTATCATAGAATTAACATACACTTTAACAAATACAAAAATTGGTATGCGAACTTACATATGATAGATGAGTAGCTGCAGAAATTATGTCCAGTCAAAAGAATATGACATGCATAAAGCATAAATAATGACTAGTAAAGTTTCATGGTGATAATTCATAAAGGTGGTTCTGACAAGCTGTGTAATGGAATACAAGCCTATTTTCATAGCCATAAATAATGTGTTACTATTATGAATATTAATTCCACATAGTTTCTATTATGCAATTTTAAACATCATAATATAGTTAATTTTAATTTGTAGAGAAGCATAGGAATGGAAAAGAAAGCCAAAAATATTCACTTGTAAGCTAGAACAGAAGCTTCAACTTCTAATTCTAAATGCTGATAAACTTTGTGAAAAGAATGAATGACTGTATTTTAACAACTCGTACTTGGCAATATTAGAATGATTACTTCTAAATTAGATTAAAACGTCATGTGGTGCAAAATTCAGAAGCACCTAACTAGTTCAGGAGTTGAAAACACATGGTGATTGTTTTAATTCCAGACTGAAATACGTATATTAGGATATAATTTGATGTGTGTTTTGGGAAAAAACATTACATTCACTATTAAAAAGCTATAGATATTTTATAGTAAATCTTGGATCAACAATGTATTCAGTACAAAAGGAACACGTGTGTTCAGTATGTGGTTGCTACCAGAAAAAAAATTAAAACAAATCTTCTATCGTGTTTCCTTTCTTCCTGTATCTGCAGAAGTGCAGATAAGAACAGTTTTAGTGACTGATGGCAGTTGGAGCCACCAGTTTGAGCTGAGTGCTGTCAGCTGCGGTAAGATTCTTACCATGGTTTCAACTAGTTTCATAGATGTTTTGGAAGTTATTCATTGTGTTTTCTGAACTTCAGGCAGTTAAGTGGAATAGGGCAGAATGCAAATAGTGTTATTTGCTACAGAATACCAAAACAATGTTGGCAGTCAAAACAAGTTTTTTTGAATTAAAGAATGAATGGCTTCCAAAGAATATTTCAATAATATACAGTTGTCGTCCATTAGAAATATTTTTCAGCTTAATAAAATCATATTGCAGCTGTAGTCTTTCAGCTTGCAAAGATAGTGATTTGTATAGCACTTGGTACTGTTACAGTAAATCGTCTAATACTGTACTTACGTATATCTGTTTTAAAAGGAATTATTTTATTTTATTCATTTACTATTTATGTAATTTATACACCACCCATCTCACTATCTAAAGCAGGGGTGTCAAACTGGCAGCCCGCAGGCCAGGTGCATTATGTGCAGGCCACACCCACCCCAGCTCCGCAAAGGGAAAAGATGTCATGTGACAGCAATGTGACGAGGCGAATTTGACACCCTAGATCTAACATAATGTTATATCTAAGACTCTCAAATAATCTTCAAATAAGACAAGTACTACAAAGGTATTACCGTTTTTTTTTTAATCTATCATGAAATCTGTGAGCAATGGTTTAAGTTTCAAAATTACATGCGGCATAAAACTCTTTGGCAAGATGGATGGACATGCAAATCAAATAATAAATAAAATACCATTAATGAACATTCAACATAATCCTTAGCATAACCTGTACGAAACAATAGCATTTGAGCTTCTTAAGAACTCTCTCTTCATAGGTTAAGCCAGTAATTCATTTCATTAAAATAAGATTTAAGTCCTTTAATATGTTAAATCATCTCCATATATTAACATTGCTAACTTCTACCTCCTTAATGTTCTGCGTTCAGATCTGTTAGTATACTAGTCTTAGTTTCGTAAATATCTAAGATCACTTCAGAACCCGAGGATCCAAGTTCAGAGATCAATGTAGAAGTAGGCCCAAACTTGAATCTTCAGAAGAAAATAATAACCAGCCTTACTCAATAGAAAATGAATTCTTAGTGTTCGATCTGGTTTCTGATACATCTAATATAAATCAAGATCATGTCTGACTAAGTTAAGTTTTACAAATTTATATTCCTCCAATCCATTGCTGATATCCATTGCATAGTTTTCAATTTTTAATTTGTAGAGTTGCATTATCAGGGAGATGGGTGGCATTTAATTGATAAATTTAATAAATAAAAATATCAAACATTAATTCAGAATTCAAACTGGGTGAGGGGAGAGAGAGATTTGGCTATCATTAACATACTTTTGATATACCCACCCCCCAAATTGTAGACAATTTCTATTAACAATTTCACATTTTTTCCAAAATTGCCATATCACCCCTTGCCAGTAATCATATCACTGATTAATTCAGTTGCTATCTCATAAACAGCCTTGAATCCAGTTTGAAATATATAGTCACTACACCTGTAAATGTATCAGTAATCACCAGTTCTGAACTGCAGAAAAGATAAAAAATATTATGTATGCTATTGGAAACAACTGAAGTACCCTACACTCTAGTATATTCATTTTTAGTACAAAATTTTATTAGTATCTTCAGTCTCTATGATAGTGATCTCTCTCCTTCTCATTTAGTCATATAATTATAATATGTATTATTTATATAACAATCAAAGTGCTGCATAAATGCAATATGTACAGGCCAATGTTTTAATTGAATACCAGATCAACAGCTTTTTAATAAATAGCTGAAAGGACAATAACATACAAACAATTGAGCTTACAATATAAATTTAACATAATTTATTTTTAAGCAAAAGATAAAATTGTAGTGAAAAATAAATTATAATTAATTAGTTAAGCAAGCAGATTTCTTAGCGATATATTGCTCCATTCTCATGTACTAGTTTATTGAAAGCAGAAATTGAATTCAGACAATTATGTTGGGTCATGGCTAAACCTGCACATTTACAAATTCTGCACTGTTACCGTATGTTTGCTTGATTGCTTAGCATATTACTGGTATGTGAAAAGCAATATGATTCATAGTTAAAAAATGAGTGCAATATGAGAGCAGATTAGCAGGTTCAGTGGATTTACTCCTAAATAAATATGAAAAAAATGCAGCTTAAATCAATCTTAAGGCTAAGTTGAACATTACCCACAGGATTGTGCAATTTTTATAAAGACAGCATAGTGTTGGCATATATTTCAGGAAAAAAATATCTCAATTATTACTTTGTTTAAAACATATTATTTATTAAATTTAACTGTCATTCAAAATTTGTTAGATTGTCTTTTATATTTAGATTGAAAACATCCAGAAATAGTGACCATACAATAATATAATGCATACTAATTGTGATTTTTTTAAATAAAAGTCTCACTGAATAACTCCAAATAATTGTTTGAAATATTTTTTTAAAAAATAGTCTGGATTTCTTTTAGCCTTCCTTGCCCCAATGGATTATTCTTTTAGTAAATTCATTATTTTTGTAATAAGAGATTTTGTCCAATCAGATTTCCGAAAAATATTACTGGGGTAATACAAAAAAAAAAACCCCACAGCTCATGCAGTTGATTAGAAACTGAAAAAAATGGACTTTGCTTAGTCCCAGGAAATTCATAGCAAGCAGTACCACATGCTACAGTAAGATAAGCAAAGCAAACCTTACTTTCATTTCCTGAATCAAAGAGAAATCTTTTCTTGTACAAATTTAACCTGATCAGAGAACAGTTTTACACTTCCTGCCAGAAGATCTGAAATACAGTCAGCTGTTTACAAACCAGGGAGGATCCAACGTGGCAGATTTTACAGAGCGGGTTCTGATGACAAGTCCTGACTCCACCAACTGCATTAATTTGTTGACATTATTACACAGCAACTAGGGAGCCAGAGAAACTGTGCAAGTAGGTATCTATCTTTGAATCCCCAGACACTTGAGAGGGAGTTCCTGTAAGTATAAAGATCCTCACTATGGGGTCACAGGGGTAAAGAACATACCCATTCAATTAGATTTCTCCTTTCACTGACCCTGAGGAATGATGGATCTAGAACCCTGAGCAGGGTCCCAAGCTGGTTATTTACGGTTATTATAGACTCCATAGAAGCAAATCTGCAAATTCACACCCAAAGATGTGTACCTTTTACAGAAGCCTGACAACCGACCGAGACAAGAATTCCACCAAAGAGCAAGAAATGTATGAAGATGCCTTGAGTGGGGAGAGCCACCTTTCTATAACCAGAGGCAGAGTTTAGAGTTTCATATCTGGCTCATAGAATAAAATAGAATTCTTTATTGGCCAAGTGTGGTTGGACACACAAGGAATTTGTCTTCGGTACATATACTCTCAGTGTACATAAAAAGATACATTCATCAAGAATCATAAGTTATAGCACTCAATGACAGTCATAGGGTACAAATAAGCAATCAGGAAACAATCAATATCAATATAAATAACAAGGATACAAGCAACAAAATTACAGTCCTGCAGTCATAAGTGGGAGGAGATGGGCAATAGAAACGATGAGAAGACTAATAGGAATAGTAATGCAGCCTTAGTGAAAGGTTTTGACAGTGGTGAGGGAATTATTTGTTTAGCAGAGTGAGGGCGTTAGGGGGAAAAAAACTGTTCTTGTGTCTAGTTGTCTTGGTGTGCAGTGCTCTCTATTCTATTCTATATCTGGCTCGTTTAAAGGTGAGCTTTAGACGGCCTGGGAGTTGATAATGCAGATAAGCTTCCTCAGGCTCAACTAGCGCCCTTTGGCCGCTGCCTTCGACTGTCTTCCGGGGGAAAGGCGCTGGGCAAAGGAGGAGGACTGGGAATGGAAGCGGCAATTATCGTCAGCTGCGCTTCCAGCATCTGACAGGCTCCGGGGAGCCCTGCTAAGGCAGCAGGCGGGCGGGGGGTGGCTGTGGAGAAACCGGAATTAATCAACCCTCGCCTCTACGTCCAAATAGCCGACCTTCCGCACGCCCCTTCAACTTACCAAGTGCCACTTGACAGGCTCTCCTCAGCTGTCCGTGAGGGGGACGCCTCACCTCCTTCTCGGAGAGGATTTTCTCCAGGGCCCGTGAGACGAACATACTCTTCGTGCGAGTGTTCTCCTCGCGGGCCGGGAACTGCATGGCCTTCTTGCACTTAGAAAGACCTTCGTCCCGGCCTGCCCTTACCGGAGCGGGATCGGCGCTCAGAGGTTCCGGCCGCAGAGGAACTCCATGAGCCGGAAGACGCGCGATTCCCTCAGAGGTGGAGGTGTTGAGGCTAGACAGCAACACGGCGCCGCCATATTGAAACCATCACGTGACCTCCCTCCTCGGGAGCCACCTTGTGGAACGCCTCCCTCGGCCTGTCGAGTCAGTGATGTCAGGAGGCGGGGCTTGGCATCGCGGGTGGGAAGAGGGAGAGAACTGGGTGGGACGGATGGGTGGGGCTTAGGTGTTCCCGGCGCGTTCTTCTTGGCCGGGTTGGTTACTTCAGTAAGAACCCGGCCAACAAATGGATGGGGGTGCTGTGGAGAAAGAGTTAAAACAGAGGAGTTCAAACTTGGCAACCTTAAGACTTGTGGACTTCAACTCCTAGAATTCTCTAGCTCCAGCTGGCTAGAGAATTCTAGGAGTTGAAGTCCACAAGTCTTAAAGTTGCCAAGTTTGGGGACCCCTGAGTTAAAAGGTCCAATCATCATCATCATCATGATGTTTTTCTTTAGGAGGTCTAGTTCGGATTCCCAGATAGATGTACAATTGTACCAGTGTGCCTAATGTCCCTGTCCTACTGTCCCTATTTATTTGTACCTATTTCCTGGGTTCTTCTTCATGTTTCTTCTTATTCCTGTTATCTTGTACCTGAGTAACAAACTAAATAAATAAATAAAATGCCTATGGAGATTCTCAATCTTCCAGGGTCATGGTTGTCCCAAAGGTGCTTTTTACTTCAGTAAGAACTGAAGATGAGAAGCAAAACATTTTATAAAGAAAAAAACAAAACAAGAAAGTCTAATTTCCTTTTTTTTGGGGGGGGGGGGAGAACCTTTAGGACAGTAGTTGACAAGAGGTAATAGGATGCCTGTATAGAAAAGAGTCAGGTGGTCTATTCATTGTCAGAGCTACAGTTAGAGTTTCATTGTTAGAAGTCACATGAGAGCCAGGTTGACACACCATAAAAGTTGTGATGGTTACTTCAAAACATCAACTGTCTTACCTTCCATGTTACCATAGGAAAGAGTGGCGTTGCCTAAGCGTTTCCCTTGCATACATTATACCATTGGCTATATAAATGTTTTAAATAAATAAACAAGGCAAACAGACCACAGGGCAGGCAGGAGTTTTCCACTTTCCTTACATGTCAAGGATGGCAGGAAAGTACATTAAACGGCAACAGGGAAGAGTTCATAGAATCAATGTCTTCATAAGGGAGAAATACTTTTTATCACATAGTGAGAGATTTTATTTGTAAAGACGGGTAAGGAAAAAATGTGGGTTTGTTCCTTTTAAAAGAAACTGTTGGAGAGAGGCCAGAAAACAAGTGAGGTATGTCATTACTTCAAGCAGCCTCTGATAAACAGCCAGAATAGCTGGGAATCTGGGGGAAACCCAGGTATATTGTAAAAAAAAAAAAAAAAAAAAAAACTACAGGAAATATCTGTTTAATCAGTCTTTTATTTCTGTAGAAATAACAGTCAGGTGAGGAATGTATGTTGGGATTCTGGTTTGTTTTTATAGTGTTTATAGTTAGCTTAAGATTCTTTAAAACTCTATATAGATTAAGAAAGTGGGCTTTTAATGTCAGTGTTGATTCATATTTCATTCATGATCCCCCCCACCCCCCAAACTCTAATGTCTTCTGATGATCTTGATGTAATATTTGAGAGTCTCCCATCTCTTTCCTGGGACTTTGGAATAGAGAAATCCCATTTGTAACATACTAGCACCATCTTGTGGTCTTCTCAGAATATTCTATTATCTGTTGTGTTTTAATGTTTTTTTTAAATTCCAGCCATTAATCCCTGAAAAGTGCTTTAATCCTTTTTAGTACAAAATAGTTTCATTTTAATATTTAAAGTTAAAATATATTTTATAGGTTTCTCTTTTACTTAAAAAATACTTTTACTTTTGTCCCCTCACTCTCCAAGAAGTGGGATATCCAGGAGGCGGGAGGAAGTGCTTTTTCCTTCTAATCATATTTTATTTATGTTTTGTTTGTTTGTTTATATCCCATATTTTTATTTATAGAAATAACTCAGTATCCAACACACCTTCCTTCTCCTATTTTCCCCCCAACAACAACTCTCTGAGGTGAATTTGGCTAAGAGAAAGTGACTGGCCCATGGTCACCCAGATGCCTTTCAAGGCCAAAGTAATCATGTACCTCAACACTATATAGCCCAAAAGTGGCAATATATAAATTATTACACCAGGATCAGGTGGAGAAAGAAAGTGATGCAAGTGAAATCTGCCAAGCCACTATCCCAAATCAAGAAGCAGGACCGAACTGTGAAGATCCATAGGGTTTCTGAGAGAGGGCATTGATCATAAAAAGTTTTTATTTTCCATTTTCATAGCATATAATCACATGTATACTATTACATAGTCAATATCAAGTTGTATTATTAAGTACTTACATCGATTCATCTTACCATAAACTACCAAAGGAAAAAGAAAACCCAGTTATTGGCTCTTCTGCTCTCCATACACCATATTTATACCTTATCCGACACTTTCTTTCCCCTCTCTCCTCCCCCTTTCTACATCCTGTCTTCCCTCCATCATCCTTTTCTCCTCTACTTCCCCTTCCTTTCTCCTTCTCCTCTCTTCCCTTACCACTCCTCCTTATACACCTCATCTACCCCTCCTCACCCTCTCTCCTGTCCCTCTCTTCCTATCTTTCTTCTCTCCTCTGCTTCCCACTCTTCCTCTAGTTC